ACAGAATCCTGGTATGGTGATTTCAAGCCTGCTCTGGATAGATTTCTTTTTCTTTCTCTTTCTTTCTTTCTTTCTTTCTTTCTTTCTTTCTTTCTTTCTTTCTTTCTTTCAAGTTTATTTTAGAGAGAGAGAGTGAGAGCAAGAAGGGGAGGGGCAGAGAGAGAGAGGGAGAGAGAGAGAGAGAGAGAGAGAGAGAGAGAGAAGCCCAAGCAAGCTCCCCACTGCCAGCATGGAACCTGATGTGAGGCTTGAACTCACGAACTGTGAGATCATGACCTGAGCTGAAATCAAGAGTCGGGGATGCTTAACCAACTGAGCCTCCCAGGAGTCTCTCTGGATGGATTTCTTAATCAAAATTGATTATGTCCAACATGAAGAAATGTTTCCTTTTAGGTTAGCTGCCAAATTCCCCCATCATTTCACTGACCCAAGACTGTCGTGTGGGTCATGCTGTGTATAGGTAGCAAAGTGGGAATAAAGAAAGACAAAACGTCTCCCAGTGGCCCCTGGTTATGTTGTCACTGAAGAGCTTGTCAAGATCTGAGGAGGGGATTTTGAAGAGCAGCTGAACCAGCTGCCCAGAGCAGCCCTGGTGATTCAGGAGGTGACATTCTCCTCTCTGAGTCACCGGGAGCCCCTCAAGGCACCCTGTGGGGGCCCGTGTTTGCCAGACACAGACATCATGCTTTCCTGTCAGCGAAGGTGTTTCTCTGCCCTCAAGGGGGTCACCAGAAGGCTGTTTTCAGCATAGGTGCCATGGAAAAGGGAACCGAGGCTCAGGCTCCAATCACAGCACAGACCTGTGGGATAGAAGCATCTGGAAGTCAGGGGATGGAGGTACCTCATGAAGGGCCCTGTTTGGTGACTTCTAGCGTGAACCACTACAGTCATTGTCAAATTTTTGAACAGCCCTCCGGCATCCCAACTAGATCTGCAAATCACCGGTCCTCTCATCTGTCCCTGTCTGTTAACGTCCTGCAGTATTTCTGAGGCAGTTAAGTGGATGCCATGTTTCTTATGAAGGGATGGTGGTGATCCCATCATTTCACAGGGGAGCAAGATGCCTGTTTTGGGATGAGATAACATGTGGTTTTGGGAAAATTTCCCTGCAACTTTGAAAATGTTAGATGAACGTCAGTCATCTTTGTGTCCTGATTCCCCACCGCTGCTTGTCACAATCCCTCAGAAGCTGGGGATGACATTGGCCTTCTAGGGATTTCTTTACACCCTGGATAGAGTTCCTTTAGGATTATTTGCAAGCACTCACATCTTTGTCAGAGTTTGTGTGTGATGTCCTTCTGGGGGAGGACACATGAGATTTTATCTCATTTCCAGGGCTAGGTTATTGGAGGGAGGGATGGAAATGAGAAGGCAGGAGGGAAGGGTGAAAGGAAATGGCACTTTCTGAGCACAGATCAGGTATTTGACACATTTATGTCGATCCTTCTGTGAAGTCTTAGGGGCTGGGCGCTTTGATCCCCATTTCTCAGATGAGGAAGCTAAGCCTTAAATTGAGATACTAGCCAATAATCTGGTGAGTAACAAGAGTGAGGATTCAAGTCTTTCTGAATCCAAACCTGGTCCACGCTTGCTCTTTCCTCCTCGCCAGCCTGTCTGGACAAGCTTTCCCTCCATTCCATCACCGAAATGACCACAGCCCTGATGCCTCTCCTGCGGGCCAAATGGCTGTGGCTTTGTCTCCACCTCATCTATGCTTTTCAATATTCAACTCCTCTTCTGAATGCTTCCCTGGAGTTAGCTTTGGCCTTTGAATACAGGAAAATCGTGATTTTCCGCTGTAGGTGGCCAAGGGATGTTCTTAACTAGCGTCTTCCCAGCCCCTGAGATGGTTCCCTTAGCTGCTCCCAGCCCTTTATCAGCAAAATCAAAACGATGCTGTATAGCCCATGGGCCATCAGGGGGCCATACACAGTGATTTAACCCATATGGTGGATTCCAGAGCTTTCTATCTCAGGCAGCATGGATCCTGAAGCACGGGCCACAGGTGTATGACCAAACAAAAGGCTGCACAAAACACTCGATAAATAAAACCTTTACACCATATTCAGGAGAAGCGAACTGAACAGAGATTATTTTGGAAATAAGATCCCAACGCAGGCATTCACACGGCCCTTTATCTTAGGGGAGTATAACATTACAAAACAGAAACATTTCTTAGAGAGCATGTATTCTCTTTGCAAACTGGCCTTCGAACTGGTTTATTTTTCTACGTGCCCCATGTCCAAAATCTATCTCTACCTTTTTTCTTATTCCAGCTTTTTGCATAATAAGTGCATCCACAATGCGAAGCCACAGCCAACCTTCCGTGGGTGACAAGGTGGCCCCAGATGTTTCTCACCCTTCTCCCTTGGGTTAGCTTCATGGCTTGCACTGCATGTCCTACTGTGTGGCATAGACACCAACTCTGCCCTGTTCCTCCCTCCATGACTAGAGGGCAGTGCTGTCTCTTCTCTGCCCAGCTTCCAAGGATTCCATTTTCCTTCCACTACTCCTTTCTTATTTTAGTGGGAATTTGAGAGGGGGGCAGGGGAGGTTGGTGTTGTTGTATAGGCAAGTGGGAGCCATAGAAGATTCGTGGGCACGAGGCTGACTCTATCAGTAGGAACCAGAGGACCTGGGGGTAGTGGGGCGGGGTGGTGGGTGGCGAGGGGCCAAATTGGTGACATCATTTACAGTACTATTGTGACAGTGAAGGGAAGGAGAGAGAGAGAGAGCTATGGTGGGGTTGGGGGCGGGAAGAGTTATAGAGCTCCTTCTGGGATCCGTAAGTCCCCAGATATCAGAAGGGACACCAGCCTTTACAGTAATGACAGCCAGATTCCAGCTTTCGTATGAAGCTACCAGCTGCCTTGGAAAGGACCCACAGATAAGAGGTATATAATTCCTGGCTGTGTTGTGGGTAATGGTTAGCCTTATACAATACAGAAGTCCCAGGAAGGAGGTTTTGGTCTCCGATGAAGGAAGGAGAGAAAATAACCCAAATTATTATAAATGAAAGAAGAGATCTCAGAGTTAGGTTAAGAAAATGGGACAAGGAGGCATGATCAAGACTCTTCAAAGGGTGGAGTGGAAAGGAGGAGGACTGGGTGCTCCAGTGGAGCAGAACTGCATCCGATTTCTCTGTCTTTTCTGTCTGTTTTAGTTGACATTGGAGTTACCATGAGGAAAGAAAATGTTTTATTTAGAAAAATATCTTGCTTGGTTTAGAAGAGGAGCTGTTGCAGGCAGACATTAGTGAGAGTCAAGAAACAAGCTCTGTGCATTATAAATAAGCAGCAGGTGGGTGATGAAGGGGCGGCAGAAAAAAGGGAGGGAGGTGAGAAGGGGAGGAGAACGTCAGAACACTATGGTAGGGTCTTGCTTTTAAGAATGGGGTGATGTTACTCAATTACAAATGATTTACGTTTTTGTGACATAGTCCCTTTCCACAGTAACTTTGGAAAGTCTGCCACCTCTAAAATCCTAGGACAGGTTTTCCTTTCCTTTCCTTTCCTTTCCTTTCCTTTCCTTTCCTTTCCTT